TCGACCAGCCGTGGACGAAGACCGAGACGCATGTTATACTATCCACCGCGTGGCGATGTACGACGTCGTCAAGGCAACGTTTGGCTGGGACGAAGAAGACCAGATCGCCCGCTGGAACAGCGAATGGGATCCCTCGGAGTTTCAAATCGTCGTGGTTGATGGCCGAATGATTGGTTCGATAGACGTGGTAGACAGGACGAACGATATACTGCTTTCCGGCATCGAACTGGAGCCGGCTTTTCAGGGCCGCGGTATCGGTTCCGCACTCATCGGAAAATTGCAGGCGAAGGCGGCGCAACGAGGAGTGCCCCTGGTGCTCGGGGTGTTTGAGGCAAATCCACGGGCTAGGGCTTTGTATGAGCGGCTCGGGTTCAAGGAGTTTCACCGCGAGGGTATCAAGGCGCTGATGCGGTGGGAGCCAGATGTCGTGAAGAAGGGTTGAGAATTTGGGTGTTGCAGCGATGATCTTATCCGGCAATAGTGTCAATCGAATGCCTTTCGGAATCAACAGGACTCCTGGATTCCGCCACGGGAAAGCGTTTTAACCAGTCGATAAATGCCCTTCTGTTTCCATGCGGTTGTGAGTGATGAGGGGCAGGACCTCCTGATCACTGAGAACTTTGCCGATTGTAGGCAGGACCAGGTGTGGAACCCAACACGACAGCACCTGCCGTGAAAACTCATGCCGCCCACGTTCAACTGCAGTTAAATCAATGACTCGACAAAACATGACTGACAAAAAGACCGGTGGCGTTAGGCATCGACGAGGCTGCTCAAAGCCTGTATTTGTTCGTTCAGCGGTGATTGGCGCAGGTAAGCGCCGAAACCCCGCATGAGTTTTGCATCGACTTCAACAGCTCCCGTCTTTCGTCCCAACCAACGCCTTTGGTCGACATTCAAGCACTTCGTTCGACTTGCCGCCACTGATCAAATCTACCCGCAACTACTCAAACGCCGGGCTTTTCGCAGTGCCGCATTCACCAGATGTCTTTTTACTCACCACTCGATATAGCCAAAGATGAAGTTCGGCTCCTCAAACTCCACCCAAGCCCCGACATTGGCCACGACCTGGTCGGCGATCTCGTCATCATGTCACTTCACACCCACGAGGATGCCAAAGAATGCACGACGCATCACCCACCATACGAGGCTCTATCCTACCAATGGGGCAACGCAGATGGAAACCAGCCGCCAGCCATCACCATCAACGGAATCTCGAAACAGATCACGCCCAACCTTCACTCTGCGCTACGACATATCCGAGATACAGGAAGAGAACGGGTGCTGTGGATCGACGCACTCTGCATCAACCAGGATGACTTGGAAGAGAAAAGTTCCCAGGTCCAACGCATGGCAGGCATTTACCAGCTAGCTGAGCGAGTCCTTGTTTGGCTGGGTGACGCAAGCGCGGACAGCGATCTCGCGATTTCGACATTGAAGCAACTTGGGGGAGATAATCGGAGCTTCTCGGTCTCCCCTGACTCTGTGCGCCGAAACATGCACGCCGACCCGGCAGCAGGACCAAGTTTCCACAATTTTACGGGCAACTGGCCGTACGAATACAACGAAGAGCTATGGCAAAAGGGGCTGCCGGACCCGGTACCAGCCGCCCCAGCATGGCTGGAAGCAATATGGGCCGAAAGTGACATCGCCGCTCGAAAGCTAGGTCTTCTTTCGACAGGGGATTTGAGCAAAGCGCAATGGTGCGCTCTTGAGCACTTCTTCTCTCCAACCTTGAGACCTTGGTGGATGCGGATCTGGGTAATCCAAGAGGTGGCACTGGCCCGTGAAGTTGTGATTCACTGCGGATTCAACACTGTTCTCTGGGATACTCTGCACGATCTCCTGAGACAAAAGTCGTGCATGAGAAGCCCTCGGCTTCGGGAGACCCTCTACGCATGGCTGATTCTGGATCAAATGAGAAGTGGTGCAAGGAACCCGATTCGGTTTCGCGGCATGGAGATGATTGGTTTCTCGCTGATGGAGATCGCTTCAAGATTCTGGGATTGGAACAGCACGAATCCAAGGGACAAGATCTACGCCCTCCTCGGCTTCGCATCGGGTTCGGCCAGTCGTCGTGTCTACCCCCGGTATGGCTCTCCAGTGGCTGATGCTTTCGCTGAGGCCGCCGCAGCTATGATCGAGGAGCACCAGAATCTCGACGTCTTATGCCAAGTTCACTGCCTGGAGAGCAGTGTGGTAGACAAGGAATGGCCATCTTGGGTCCCCGATTGGTCGCAGCCCCAAAACACAAAGCTGTTGATCGACATTGCGAACGGCGTCCGCCCGTATGATTCAAGTGGGCCTTGGAGTCATTCCAACATGCTCAGGCCGCCCGATGGTGGCGGGCTGATACAAGGAGGCTTGATGGAAGCATGGACCGCGGGGACAGAGAGCTGGAAGCAATCAGATGTTGGGGTTCGGGCTGGGCTCCGCTGGCCGGCATATCATACTGCGCCACCACTAGCCGCTTGCCCCAGGAGCTTGCACCTTTCTGTAGAATTCCACGCCAGGCTGCTCGACCCACGAAAGCTGGAGGTTCAGGGAATAAGCTGGTCTCAAGTTGAAACCCTGTATGGCGAAGTTCCGACACAGCAAACTGGAGACGGACCTTCACGCACTCACCACACCCTGTTGGACTGGTACATGGCCCTCAAGGATCTGCCGCGCTTTTCCTCACGTACATATCCCTTACTCGCCGAGGCCATGGTTACTGGCAACAGTCGAGATTTGAGCAGGAGGATATCGGGACTCGAGTTCTATCACGGGTTCATCCTGATGTCTCTCTTGCTGCGCGGGCAACTTCGGTTCACCAAAGAGGTTGGCTCCACGGGGATCAAGCACCCTACATACCAGCGAAATGTTTATCACCGTGTGATGGCTTTTCTTGCATGTGTTGGGTACATTGATGCGGAATATGGGCGGGCAAGCAAGGAGCTTCCCAGCCTATTCCTCGACTTTCTTTCTATGCGCAATCCGAGGCTTCAGGGGTGGAAGTTGGCTGTGTTGTCGAACCAGCACTATGGGCTTGTGCCCTCTGGGACAAAGGAGGGGGACAAAATTGCGGTTGTAATGGGCTCTTCTGTGCCTTTTGTTCTCCGTGCAGGAGAGCAAGGGACTTGGAGGCTTGTGGGGTCTTGTTATTTCTTTCATGTCATGGCAGGGGAGCTTGTGCAGTCGAGGGGGGCGCCACAGGAGTATTTTGTTCTCTCTTAGGGGCAGGGAGGCGACTGACGATGGCTGGTGAACTGGGTCAAACACAAAAATCTCGTCCATTGAAGTGGTCCATCGCGGAGGCGGAGGTCCGATGGCACCAGTTTTCTGAGCGAATCGGCGGTGAAAATGAACGGGGACCGGACACGCATCTGAGACATGTCAAGCCCGCCCACGGGGGACGGGAGATGCAAGCTTGCCGCTGCTTGGCAAACTAGTAGGGCTGGCTTGCAGTTTTCGGGCGACAGCAGCCTTGGCTTATTGGCTTTGTGCCGGAACGACGCAGGCACCATGCCGATTTGGCTGCTTGTTCCGGGATGAGTGTGCATGATGCTCACCGCTGTTCGGGCGAAAACACCCGAGACCGACCACAAAACCGCAAAGACGCCTATTTTGATCCATTGGACCTCATCTCTTTGGAGTTCGTGTCGATCGTTCTCGTCAAGTTCTAGGCGTGATATCCCACAACGTCGCTCAAGATGCCAGACTTTGGAGATCATGTCGATATGGAGGCGTTCAACAAGGTCTTGGAGATGGACGACAACAGCGACGACCGCGAGTTCAGCCGAGCCATTGTTCAGGAGTACTTTGACCAGTTCGAGACGACAATTCAGGAGATCGATGCTGCATTGTGAGTGGTCCCAGATGCCATTCATTCCGTCTTCATCCCCAAAATTGACAATGTCTTCCATGCAAACAGCGGCTCTCAGAATCTGCCGGCATTGGCGAAGATCGGCCACTTCCTCGGGAACTCTTCGGCCGTCATTGGCTTCACCAAGATCAGCCAGATTTGCGAGCTCATCAAGATGTACGGGTCCAAACGGCAGCCAGACGGAACACCGGCGGAGGTGCCGATCTGTCTGAGCAACATTCAGACCGCTATCGCAGATATCAAGCCGGAGTACGAAGAGGTCAAGAAGATTGTGTTGGAGTTCTACAAGAGCGGCTAGCCCTGGAGGTATTGATTTTTGTATGTCGGTTGAATACGCTCAAGTGTGCCCGTGGTCCCGTTTGGCCGTTTGCAAAGACAACGGGTGGGCGGCTTCGTCAGGAACAGGGCTTTCTACGACATTGAGTCAACGTCGTGCCAGAAGCGATAACCGCAGGAAGTTTGGGAAGAAGACGAAAAAAAATTCTGATGAAATGCCACAGGGCTATGGTTCCCACTGTCGGTCCTAACTTGAACTGAAGCGATGCTGTGACTTGATCTTCACCGTTGAGAACAGCGTTTATCAAATCTCTACCCAGCGTCTGTAGGATATCCGTGCGATCTCTTATGACTCTGTTATTATCTTTCAGAGGGGTTTGAAACGACGTCGTACGATGTCGTACGATGTCTTTCGATGTCGTTGGACATCGCCCGATATCTCGGACTATTTTAATTAGCTCGCCCCATTTTGGTCGAGTTGAGCAGATGTCTTGGCAGAACTGATGTCGATGTTTGGCTAGTGCCTGCCAATGATGTAGCGAACTCTTCAAATTGTACTAAGAAATGACGCTTTGGCCGAAATCGTCTCATACCTAATGAAGACGGTAGCTAACTCTATCCATTCCTCAATCTTAAAACGATATCGTGACACAGTAATTAACCAGGCCCTTCCTAAATACGCCCTTGTGCTTCAATCGGTTTGCCCCTAAGCTTCGTGACGTTGCTTTTGCGACATTGGTCCTACCTCTATATACGCCCTGTCTTCGTTTGGACTTTCACGGCGTTTCCCATGCCCGCCGGGTTGTGCTGCCTGACACGATAGCAAGAATCCTGAGGCCTCACCAGCACAAAACGAAGCGGCCTTGTGGTCTAGTGGTATGATTCGTGCTTCGGGTTTAGAGCCCTTACTTCTAAAAAGCAAATGTGCGAGGTCTCGGGTTCAATCCCCGACAAGGCCCCTTTTTGCTGCTATCCCCAACCTCCTCTTCAAGTTGTGGAGCCAGCCGTGGGATCTCCATAACGCTATCTTGCCGAGTTCCTTGGTCCGACTTGAAGCAGCGGCTGGCGAACAACGCAGACCATCAACACAGACCGCTCCACAACACAAGTTGTCGTGGCAAGATTCTCACGACCCCCTATGGCTTCTTGCCCCCGCAGCTCGAAAGAATGAGGAACACACTCTGCATTTTGCCAGCCTTCGTTGCCCTCTCATCTCTGATCTCGCACGATGGGATGTCCAAGAACATAGCGGCTCAATCGCCTAAGCCAACCTGATGAACGCGTAACCCTGCCGAACACGTTTCTACGCTGAAGGGTGGATGTACCCAATCGCCACCCGCTCAAAGAACTCGCCCCGTTTCCTAATGAGAAGCATGGAAAAGAGACACCCGTTGTAAGTGCACCAAGATGAGTAGTGGCCGTACCACCCATCCATTCCACCTGCTCGCACGAGATGCGGAACCTCAAACGGAGTTCGCTTCCCAGAGGCCAGGATCATCAGAGAGACTCACTGCTTTGAATGCCGTGTGGCGTGAGATCGTTCCCACCGAAGACTAGAATTCCGCACTGTCCGATCTCGTCGCGAACTTCGAGGTATTGGAGATGCAGGTGAGACTTCTCGAGTGAGGTTGTCCAACGACTCTTGCCGACTTCGCAGCGTTTGGCTTGGCTGTAGGAGAATTGTGCGGCTTCCGTACAGTCGGCCCAGAACTCCAAGACTGCGGCGTGCGGGCCGGGAGGAAGGGAGTCAGGTTGACGATATTAGGTACATCTTCGAGGGCAGGGCTGAGGATGGATACACGACCTTCGAGGCGTGGCATCGAGTCGCCCTGGGGCTTGGGATCTCTGAAGGGGTGTCTTGTCGGACGCTGGTCGATCCGGTTGTTCTGCATGTTCTGATTTCTCGTTGGATCTGAAAAAGGTGGTGGATAAAACGGCTAAGCCTATCACTATGGACGGTACCTCGTCCGGGGAGAGGCTTCGCTACATGAAGCTTGTTGTTGTCACAGGCTATATTGATGGGTAGATGTTTGAAGAAGCGGTAACGTGCATGATAAGCGAGCGACGAAAATAAGCGAGCGACGAATTTTCCACGCGACGCGACCACTTTACCTTCACACCTTAATTCTACCACAACCAGCCATGGCCAACCCCTCAAAAGAGGCTAGGATTCTTTTAGCCCTCAGGGCTATTCAGAACAGCGAAAATCCTAATATTCTTTCTATTGCCAAGCTGTATGACATCCCTGAAGCAACCCTTCGCCACCGACGCGCCGGCCGGCCTTCACGACGCGATATTCCAGCCAACTCACGCAAACTTACGGATTTAGAAGAGCAAACGATTATTCAATACATTACTGAGCTCTGTACACGCGCATTCCACCCTCGGCTTTGTTACGTGGAAGATATGGCCAACCGACTGTTACGCGAACGCGACGCGCCCCCTGTTGGCAAACGCTGGGCTCACAACTTTGTCAAACGCCAGCCAGAGCTCCGAACGCGTTTATCGCGTAAATACGACTACCAGAGGGCTAAATGCGAAGATCCGAAGATTATTGGCGAGTGGTTTGCCCTTGTGCATAACATGAAGGCCAAATACGGTATCCTTGATGAAGATACGTATAATTTTAACGAGACTGGCTTCATGATGGGCATCATCACTGCTACCATGGTAGTTACTACCTCAGATAGCCGTAGCAGGGCTAAACAGGCACAGCCTGGCAATCGAGAGTGGGCTACAGTCATCCAGGGGGTGAATTCTCAGGGCTGGGCTATCCCGCCATTTATCATCTTGGCCGCACAATACCACCTTGCCAATTGGTATCAAGAATGCAACCTTCCGGCCACCTGGCGTATTGCAACAACCGACAATGGCTGGACTACGAATGAGAAAGGCATGGATTGGATTCAGCATTTCGATTTACACACATCGTCTCGTACAAAGGGCAAATATCGGCTTCTGATCCTTGACGGCCACGAGAGCCACCACTCCGAAGAATTCGAGGCCTATTGCCAGGCACATAATATTATTACGCTCTGTATGCCTCCACACGCCTCACACCTACTTCAGCCTTTGGATGTTGGTTGTTTTGGGCCGTTGAAGAAGGCGTATGGCCGTCAGATTGAGCAGTTAATGCGGATGAGCATCACACACATCAGCAAGCTGGAATTTCTCTGTTCGTTTAAAGAAGCGTTTTTTGCTTCGATTACGGAAAAGAACATCCAGGGGGGCTTTGCCGGCGCTGGCCTTGTGCCGTATGACCCAGAGAGGGTAATGTCTAAGCTGGATGTGCGTATTCGAACACCAACACCTCCAGCCCCAGGCCTAACCACCACACCACCTTGGGTCTCCCAAACGCCACATAACCCCCAAGAAGCCACCGCACAGTCAGGACTTATTAAAACTCGGATTTCAAACCATCAGGGCAGCTCTCCAACCTCAATGCTAACGGCTGTGGATCGACTAGCCAAAGGCACAATGGCTGTAATGCACGAGGTAGCTCTTCTCCGTACAGAGGTCTCCGCATTACGAAAGGCCAATGAGGAGCTTAGTAAGCGACGGAGGGCTAAAAAAACACGTGTACGGCTTGGAGGGTCCCTTACTGTACAGGAGGCACAGGATTTACTAGACCAGAAGGCTGTGGAGGATCAGTTGGCTCAGGAAACACGACAAAGTGGTGGTCGTGCAGGGGGCTCTCGTACGAAGATTCAGTGTTGTGGCGTGTGTGGTAAGCCTGGCCATAATGCGCGCACTTGTAAGGAGGCTGCAGAATCGTCTGATTTATCTGTTTCCGATTCAGTTATTGTTATTTCCTAGTGTTGTGGTTGTGTAATTGAGGATTGTTGTGGTGGGATGATGGGAACTTCGTCGCTCGCTTATATTCGTCGCTCGCTTATCATGTACGTTACAGGATGTTTTGGAGAAACATCAACCATTGAGCCAACAATTAGTTGAGTTGTACCGTGACCGTGACGGGCTGATGCACCTAGTACCGCGAGCTTCATTGTCGATTATCCTATCCATCTCGATAACCAATTGCTATACGCAAGATATTTGTTTAGAGCATGTAATGCAATGGGCGGTTTGTCCATTGTGGTTGGTGAGGCTGAGGCGCGGGGTAATCTCTCTTGGGGAAGGAGAGATTTGGGTTGAAGCTTCGCCCGACCACCTCGGTCCTGTTTTCTTGCGCTCTCAAACTAACCCGGCATCCGCAAACGCCATTTCGTGCATTGATGGCCGATATTGAGGGCTGGAGTCGCAGGGTATTCAGGGTGCGTCAGCTGCCCGGCCGCGTTTCTGATCGGCCTGCCGCTGCTGCGCTGTTGAGCAACGCGCTTTCCCTTCCGACAGACCACATCACCATCTTTTCGCTAGCCACCACGTCAGACAGATTGGAGGACCCGCCTTCAAAAGTGGCAACTCTCCAACTGAAGAGTGTGCCGAAATGCCTCGAGGGCGCGAATGCCCGCAAGGGCTCGGAATGGTCAATTCCCGTTCCTGGAAGCGGTGAGCCCAGCGAAGTCTTCATCCTCGACACTCACTTTAAAGGCTTCACCGTTTTGAGCAGCCCCATCTCAGAGGAACACCGTTTCGAGTAAGTATTAACTCGGAAGCCTCGACTACTGTTTCGCAATCGCTCAATCCCTTCGCAGCTGCATCGCCATTTCGGGCCTAGCGAGCCATCCATTCGGGTCATGGCAACCTCACGGCCCAGATAAAAGCTTCATGTGGATCAGAGATGCCATCCCCTTGTCCGTTCCGGGGCTACGCACCATGACCTATGGTTACGACGCATCTCTTTCCCACAGCAATTCTTTCCAGTCAATCGGCGACATTGCGCAAACACTGGTCCTACTGCTAAGATTTGGTGGCTGGAACCTCCCGTCATCGAAACCAATCATCTTTCTCGCCCATAGTTTGGGAGGACTGGTCCTAAAAGAAGCTATCGTTCGCATGGCTGATCGTGATAAGGCCTTTTTCGGCATTCTTGACAACATCTCGGGAGTCATCATGTTTGGTGTTCCCTCGTCGGGGATGCATCAGTCCCACCTCATGGCCATGGTTGAGGATCAACCAACCGAGCTTCTTGTGCAGGACCTCTCTCGTGAGGGCGGAGCGTATTATTTGCGTGATTTGAACAAGAGATTCGAGGGTGTGTCCTTTCTCCAGACAAAGAAGGTGTTTTGGGCGTACGAGACTCGGGAATCGCCAACCGTGGTGGTATACGCTCCTGCCGACCCCGGAGGTAGTCGTGATCGCTGACTTCTGATGCAGAAACTCGCAGACGGTGCTTGGTCGAGGACAGGGCCACCCGCAGTTTTGGTCAACGTCGAGTCAGCAACTTCGCATTACTGCCGAAAGGATCAGTTGACAACATTTCCTATAAACGAGGACCACTCCAATATGGTCAAGTTCTCCAGGGGGGACCCAAACCTGGGGCTCGTCACGCAGATCATCGTCGACTTTTGCGCACTCGATGGCCACTCAGGTTGTAGAGCAGGCACTAGTATCGACGTTCCTAAGAACAACGCAGTGGGACTCAACGTCCTAGGCCCGGAGGTAGACCTAGCCAACACGAGCGAAGGGTTGCCGGAAACGAAGATGCTTGACGAACTTGGAGGACTTCTGCAGGCAGTTGAGGGTGCGTACAGACCGTTGATTCCGTGATTTTCTTGGGGAAAGAAGCTGCTGACACATGCGGATGCAAATCCATCTCAGATATACATCACCAGCTGCATTTTGAAGAACTGGATCTCCGTATCCAACAGATCGAGGATCCGTTTCAGGATACCTTTGAGTGGGCTTTTGGTCTACCTGTGCTGACTAACTGGTTGCAGCAAGGGTTTGATTCAAGTCTCTTTTGGATTCATGGCAAGCCAGGCTCCGGAAAATCCACCTTTATGAAGTTCCTATTCCAGAACCCCCGGACATGGCAGCTCCTTCACGACTGGAAGAACGA